GGAACAGCCTACCCAGAGAGGTGGTGGATTCACCATCCCTGGAGGTTTTTAAGCAGAGATTGGATGTGGCCCTTAGTGCCATGATATAGTAATTGGAGTTGGATCAGGGGTTGGACTTGATGATCTTGGAGGTCTTTTCCAACCCAATCTATTCTATGATTCTATGATTCTATGATTCTATGATTCTATATACCTAAGAAAAGACCAAGGTGAGCAACATTAAAATCAGTCTACTATCTTATTAATGGTTTCACAGATTGGAGATACAATTTAAAACTGTGGAGAGATGAAGTGTTTTGTTGCACTTCAAATTAATAAAATATTTCTTAAATCAATTAGGAAATTGGCACTTGTATTACAGAATAATGGACATTTTAAGAATGCCCCTCAACAGCATAAATATTTCACTTACTTCTGGAATTAGAGACCACTAGAAATTAGAGGGGGATGTGCATACATATACATGTATTTAAATACATACATAAGTATATGCATATTTCCTCTTAATGAGAACTGTATATATATATATATATGTATTGTGACACATTTTGACAGGAGGTATGCAATTGAGGCAGTTATTAAGAAACTGAGCAAATTTAAGAGAGTTTTTGAGAGATGTTTAGATACCTATAAATCTTACAAGTGTATCCTAGTACATAAAGCATTTATTAACTTGTGTAAACATGAGTTTTGCTAACTGAAAGAAATGACTGACAAATGTGTGAAAAATGCTTTTATTCAAACTTTTCCTTAAAATGGGCTTGTTTCTTTTCCTCTCTATTTTTGGAATGAGGATTTTTTATTATTCAGAGCCTAGATTTTCAACTCCCTGTTTATAGAGCTCCCTCTGAAATTAGGTCATGTGTTTGAAATAAATGGGATTTCTGAACATGAAGGATATTGTTTGCAATATGTTTAATGATATTTCAATTTGCTATCTGATAATAATTTGAGTGTCTTGATGCAGGTTTTTCGGGTTACATAAACAACAGGAATGTTGGCAATTTATTTCACCTCCCAAAAAAAGGTGGCAGAAGAACAATGTACCTATAAAATCATTAAAATCATACTGACTTGATCTTGTTAAAATTATTAGCAGAAGCAATATTTTATTTTGTACTACAGATATCTCATCATTCTTTATCGTTTACTGTTGTCAACACAACCCAATTTTTAAATACTCTAGAGGGAGAAACAATTAGAGGAAGATATTACATAATAATTCAATCTTTCCAAGGCCAGACTACTATCCAAAGTGAAGAGAGCAGATACAGTTTATGTAACCTCAATAATGCAGAATGAGACAGGTATATCTCAGACCTGTGCATATTTTCTGCTGCTTTTTAGCTATCACCATTTAAAATCCATCCAACCAACCAACCAACCAAACAAACAAAATCAAACCAACAAAAACAAACAAACCCTAAACAAAACCAAACAAACAAAACCAACCAAAAACGTTTCAAAAGATCATTCCTTAGCAAGGAAATTAGTTTCCATGCATATCACCTGGCAAATTGTATTTTTCCTACTTATGTGTGTAGATCCTACTGGGGGTGATTCTGCCCTCACATTATGTCAGGCTCACTTTGACAGAAAATAATTGCTACTGAAACCTTTTCTGCTGAGCACTAGATAAAAGAAAAGCAAAATTTGAATGTTTTTTTTCTAGCAGAAGGCTTAGGCCTGAGCACTAATATACCACTAACTATATATATTAACTAACTGTCCACATTCTCATATTAAGTTGCCTGATTTTCCTCTAGTGGAGTCTCTGAGGTTATAAAGGCTCTACAAACTAACAAAAAATAACAACATTCTTGTATTTGCCATTATGCTGTGTATTGTTAGGTAAATAAATAGTTAACCTTCAATAAGTTGTGGCAGAAATCTGGGCTATCACTGTTAATAAAACCTACCCATTACCCAAAGAAGCTTTTGTCTCCACCAACTAAATATGCCTCAGAAGAGATGGATGTTACCCAGGTTTACCCATTCTTCTGACTCTTTCCTTTGGCACCAGGCAGATGGAACTTTTTCCAGGGTTGATATTATCAGTGCACAGACAATTGGACATATATAACTTCAGATTTCTTGCCTTTTAGCAATATTACCTCTGACTGGTAGAGGAGACCTCGTGCTGGTCTAATTCCAGGAATAACTCCAAACAGACATCTCAGCCATTCTCCTCAGGAAGAAAAGTCACTAGCCATACACTACTCTGAAACATAGAATTAGTAAGTATATTAGAAAAATGTTTACTCTGAAGCTTATTATTTTTTTTTTTTTACTCTTAATCAAACTCTAAATAACAAAACCTCCTTTCTCTGATTCTATGTGGAATACACTGATACAGATGTGTGCTCCTCCATCAGGATGAATCATTAATTTTGCAGGTAACATGACCCAGAAATAAGTACAAAATAATGTTTCAGATACTTTGCTTTTTAACATTCTTGTTGTAATTAATTTATTTTGTATTAAAGGACAAATGAAATAGAAATAGCAAATGCTCTAAGAAAATGAACAGCATTGTAAAATCCCTAGTTTTAACCCTAGTTCTGATAATATCTTGTACTTGACCTCTAAACAAACTTTACCTCTGTGTATACCTCTATGACTGTGAAAAGGGAATAAAAACATAACTTAATCTTTGCCACAGTGACTGATTGTGAGACCTTTTACCTCAAAGCAGATGTACTGTTTTAAAGCACTATATAATAGGTATTGCTATTAGTGGACGTTCACACAAGGAATCTCTTCTAGAAAAATATTTGCTGAACAAGAAACAGCTTAGAGCATGAGAAATTCGTAAGATAATTTTTCAGAATTGAGCAGCATCTGTTTAGCTCAGCTTGCTACCATTTTATTAGCTGAAGTTCCAAACTATCTTTGGTATCTAACCAGAAAGACCAGAATAAACTCTTTTTCAAGTGCACAGGTACAAGCAATCTGGACTACTCTGAAACTGTCCCATTAATCTTGACACTGTATTTGAGCTCGGGTTTCTTCGATTATTTCTATGGCCCAGGTAACAGGTTGGAGGGAGATTTTTGTCTGAAATAATCTCATTGCTTCACCAGAAAGCATCACGCTCAGGGTGATGCTTGCCAGTGAAGATGCTGACTCACACCTTTGGGCAGCCTGGACAGGGCAGGTCAAGCCATTGGCTTGACAATATTTAGATACTTATCCTAGTGAGAGTGGAGCTAAAGATGAACATAAGGCTTATTTGTCTTTATCACTAGGCCAAATATATCAGCAGGTAGTCCCTGCAGAACTGGATAAAAGGAACGGAGACTTTGATTCAGGTATGTAGGAACCCAGCTCCTGGTCATACATCCATCTGATGGCATCGAATCTCCTTTCCAAATTTGACTTTGTCCATCCCACACACATAAAGCAGAAATTGCATCAAGACACACTCCGAAACACATCAGGTAACTATAAAAGGAAGCAGGCTACTGGAATGTAGCTGCATGCAGTGTCCCAGTACAGAGTGTTAGAAAGACATACTACAGAGATGTAAATGTGCAAGGAAATTTAGGGTTGAGAAAAATTATTTTTAGAGTGCACCTTAATCTAAGTGATGTGGAAGAGTACATATTTCCAACATTCAATAGGTAAAATTCTCAGGATAATAATTGTAATATTACATGAGAATATTCCCCTAGCATAATGATTGTATGTTTTACATCTGGGTAAAGAAATACATTTCTGATACAACCAGTGCTGAATTACTTTATGACTATGCTTAGCACAAGCTGCCATTCTGAAGTTGTAACAAAGTTCAGACTGTCTAAAGAGAAGAGAGATGGAAAAACATTTATCATTTACAACTTCAAGCCAGTGCTATTCATAACCTCAAGACATTCAATGAAGCTATGTAAAATACCTTTTTTCAAATTTCAAATATAAGTAAATGTAGTATAGGTGAGGACATTCACTACCTTTATTCTCCAGATATTGTCATTCTCTGAAGTGAATTCAGTTAGCATTTTACAAGTATGTAATGACATAAAATACAACATTTTTTGTAGAAAATATTTCTCAGAAATGCTTTTCTGATCATATTCAAAACATACTAGTTGTTGGTTTGTTTTCTTTTTTTACCTTTAAAAATGAATCATATCCCAAAGCTGCATTACACATTCAAGAGCTGCTTATCCTTCACCTTATAAATTTACCTTCATATTAGATTAAAGTTTCTTACCCATTTGCTTTGTCTTTCTGGTTGTGTGAGGCTGCAATGCAAGACAGGTTTGTTGCCTGTGTTTGCAGAACTGCCGTAAGAATAATGCCTTGTGCATCCCTGATGTAAGCTGCCTCCTAAGGTCACCTCCCCCATTTGAGTTCAATGGCATGACTAATGCACGTGAAGTTAAGCATGGGCATTCTGCCCTGAGCCAGCAAACATTAGCACAGGGGCAGGGAAGTAAATCCATGCAGAACGCCCCTCGATTCAGTATGGGAGCACAGAAACCTGCCACTGTTGGAACCAGAGTGTTTACAGGAGTGGGACCTTCAAAAGCAATTTAGACACAAAGCATTTCAAATCTTCTTCTGTAGCAACTCATTAAACAAACAAACAAAGAAGCTCTTTACTCAATTTTACTTGATTTCTTAGTAAAGTCATTGCAAATAATATCAAGAGAATAAGACTGCATTCCTCATGATCTGTCACACAAAATGAGAAGCAGCCATCTATACTTTAAATTAAAGGGACCACTCAACAGGAGCATCCCAAACTAAGTCCCTCATTGTATAATGGTTTAGAAGTACAGGTTATATCACTAATGTAGTATTCTCTTACTTTGTTATGTTTGTCCTTCTTAAAGGACAAACATGTTCCAGTATCCTAGTCTTAAAAATAAGTTATTATCTCTTTGGAGCAACTGCTCCTTCAGGCTGAGCTGTGATGGGATTACACCTGGGCAAGGGCTATCTATAGTGAAACACATTTTTCACATGACTAAAAGACCTTCTAAGAGGAACTCAACAAACAAGACCTCGATGCTGCCGTGTGTAATATTATGCATGCGAGTCATCTAAATACCCTGAAGGAGATTCTTGCACGCATAAGTATTTGCAAAATGGAAAGTGACATATTTTTGATGCACAAGAAGGAACAGTTTTGTCTCAATTTCTTATAGCTGTTCTTTTGTTGGATTTTTTTCTTTTCATTTATATGATCTTACTCCTAGTCTTTAGTCTGATGACTTAAATCATATAACCAAGACAACAGAGCTGATTTGGGTTCATTGTCTCTGCTACAACTAAAGGGGAAGGTGGGTACAGAGAGAGAGAGAGAGAAAAAGAGAGAGAAATTGAGTGCATTCACTAGCTCAGAAGATACATGGGATTAAAAAATGTGAAAGCTGCCTTTTTATGTTTGAATACATAAATGTAATGTGTATCTGTATACATGTTTATATATATATATATGTGTGTATTTGCTGGGTATATGCTAGATTCCAAAATACTACAGTTTTTCTCTCATGTAAAGGAGAGAATGTTACACACAAAAAGACTTATTCCACTTATTAGCAACATTTAAGGGATCGCTAAATTTTTATAACATGCATATATGATTCTCCTGCTATATACTGAATGAAGAAAATTAAGTTTCTAATGATTTTACCGTGGACAATAAAAATCAATTTCTTCAAAAGTTAAATTCTTATTAGAATTTCAAACTTCGGAAAACACAGTGTAGTGAAAACCAATATTTTTCCCTTAGATTGTGAGGCTTTTATAAAGTGTTTATAAAGTTTTTTGACTAAATATGAAAACAATTTTTAGAACTTGATTAAGGTCACCCAAAAAGACTTTATTTCATTAACAGTTTTAGCTGCAAGTGCTGAGTTACAGATCCTAGCAACATAGAAATTATATACGAGCTGGAAGAGTAATTATTTGAAATTAAGGTTTGTAGATGTTAAGACTGATTTAAAAATAAATTTTAAAAAATTAATATTTTGCATTCCAAAGGAAACAACTTTCCTGTTTCAGTAGGAATGTTAAAAGAACCCTGTTCAGGCTGCTTAACAAGGGTCACTCCAGCACCAGCAGGTTCAGGAGAGAGTTACATGACTCACATCTCCATCCTCAGGGCAAAGGCCCCTTCAGCATCCTCCTGTATGTCAGCACCCTGCTGCTGCAGATGCTGAACCTCCTTCAGAGCTCGTTCATGCTCTGACAGCAGCCTCAGGCCCTTGCTGAGCTCCCCGTCTCCTATTCACGTCTCTACCGCCTTGCAGCAATTCGGCTCCTGGTGAGTCCTGTTACCCAGGAGACCCGGCTGTCACTCACCACATATCCTCCTCATCACTCTGCTCGAAACAGTTACTCTTGCGCTCCCTGACTTGGTGTACCCTTTATTTGCTCTCCTTCTGTGCATAGGCACTACCATTCCCTCTCTGCGAGCTTATTAATGACCTTTCCCAACAACCCATCCCTCAGCGGCATGTGATGCCAGGCACTACCACCCAGCACCCCTCCTTTGCCCCCCAACCCCTGGGCCCCCACCCTCAACCCCCACCTGAGCTCACCTGTCCCAGGTGATGCTCACAGGTGTTAGTGATGCAGCAGTTATTCCAGTCCCACTACTGCAGCTTGCTGTGGGCAGCATCTGTGCCAAGAATTGCCTTCCTGGCCAAAAAGTGTCACGCGACTTTTATCAACAAAACAACCCCTTCCAGCAATTTCACTGAGTTATCAACTTGGACTTTCATTTTAAACGTTTTTGTTTTTCCTCTCAGATCATGTGTCAAAACATCCCTCTTTTTCATTCCAACTTTCCAAAATGCATTTTCAAGATGGCACTGGAAACAGTATTACAAATAATCCCCTCAGGCACCTATGCCACTTTCTGCAGCTTCATTTGTCTGCTTGCTCTGAAAACCGAAGGAAAAAAAAAACCTGAAAATAAAACCTCAACTCCTAGCGAGATGACCAGTCTTATTTTTTTTACTATTATCTCTACAGTAATACTAACAGCAAAATAACATGAAGCACGGATAATTACTATAAGAAAAAAAAAAACCAAACCAAGCATTAATGTATTCATATTGAAAATCTGGTTTGTAGAAGCCCTATGGGTTTTCATTTATTTCAGCAGAAAGAGTGAGTGCTTATCATTTCTGGAAATATGGACGATAATGGACAAGAAAGCTGTGCTAAAATTTTCAAAGCAATTTGCCAGAAAAGAAAAAACAACCAAGCTCTGCTATCTTTGACTTCCCGCTGAATATCATCAAATCACAGGCTTGAAAAGTACTGTATCTATTCCATGCAGAATAGAAGATTGACTAAAAAGTCTCAACTATGAGTTTGCTACCTCAAAACTTCAGTAGCAAAATACCGCCAAGTTGAAAATAATGTTAAAATAAAAGATTGTATAAGAAGAGTTTAAAATATACCAGAAGGTCTTGTAGAAAAACAGATAGTACCAAGGAAATCAGCATAAAATTATGAAAGTTGTAAACACTGGGGTAGAATAACTCTGTTCAGTGATACAAGGATGTGTACTTATCTACAGTCAAGCAATGCTCATATTTCTTAAACTAAGTAAAGCTGGGCCATGTCAGTGACTGAGGTAAGAGATAGGTGATACCAGATGTGGTTTTTATGTATCACCAGCTGGCATACTTCTGCACAAGTGAGCATTACATTAAACACCCAAGCGAGCAGTCAGTTGCATTACTTTACCAGAAATGTCTTTGTTCAGAACAAAATTCAGGTTCTAGCATTCTGCTGGTTTAAAAAAACCCAAGCATAACAATGAATTGCACGAAAGTCACCATCAGTTGCATAATACTCAGAGGTTTTCCTATTTATCCAGTACTTCAAGGCTTATAAGCTTAAAATTCAAATTTTGATTTCATGCAAATACGTTCTTAAGTCACACAAATTTTCCCAGCACGGAGTCCATTGCAAATGGAGACACGGGTTTTGCAATTGTTTGCAGGATTCCTCAGTTGACAAATCAGCCCTTATTCTGATCTACTCACTGGACTCCAATAAAAAAGCAATCAATGTTTAATCAGATAAAGAGAAAGACTGGCCCCTTCCAAGGGGGGGGCAACAGTCTGGAGCAGAGCCACTCTTCAGTGATGAACAATGAACTCCTGTGTGAAGGGTCTGAATTCTGTATAGACTCATTCCCACAAGAACCTGGTGACTGGATGTAGCTTAGTAGTCAAACAAGCAAGTGAAGAAACACAACTAAAAATGTATATGAGAGAAGCAAAAATATGTGGTTGTCATCTGGCAATGTGATGGCCAGATGTATGAGAGCATGTGTGCACACAGAATTTTCTCTCTTTTTCCTATGCTTCTCATTTTTCAAAGAAACAGTATCAAGTTTGGAATAAATGAAGGAGTACAATTTCTTCTTCTCAATTAAGATTTTGTAGAAAGGTATTAAGGTAGTTAGGAATGACAGCAAGAGAGTTTCTCTATTCCATGCACAAGGATATCATTTCAACTAGAAGTAAGTTCATAGAGGAAAGTTTTGGTATCAATTTTCTGTAGCTCAGAGAAGAGGGAAAGATAAGTAGCAAAGGCATTAAGCTGCACAATTTTACCAAACTGACTTTCAATAATCATGATTTTGTTGGAGACTGACTTATGAGTGGGTAGATTTGCCCAAAATATCAAATCACAAGATTTTTAAAAGAATGAAATATTTTTAAAAATACTTTGTTTTCACTAGCCAAATAAAAAACACAATTGTATTTTTTGTTTCCATTTTTTTCATTGGCTAAGGGTTCTGAAGAATTTTGGTGTACAAATAACTGTGATACAAATTCTTTCCCCATTTAAGAACAGAAGACTCTTGTGCAAAACTCTTAAGTGATGATAATTTAAAATGTTGGGGGACCCATGAGGGTGCCTGGGCCTCTGCCCTTAGATAATACAAGTCGGGCCTGAGGCAAATAGTGGAAGAAAATTTAGATATCAGTGAAATAAATGTCTTCTTGTAAAATTGAGAGATACTTATGTCAGGTCAAATGAAAAATAAAACCAAGACAGTTCCCAAAGGAGAAGATAATAAAAGATATCAACAGAACTAGGGCTAAAACTAGGAGAAGATGCTCTTTCTATATTTGTTTTCATGCAAGATCAGAAAGAACATGGGGAAAAGATGTTTTTTTTTTCTGCTAACTCAAATTAAAATGGTTCTTGAATGAACTTCCCCAATCATTCATTTAATCCAGCATCACTGGATGGATACACCATGATTAATTTTTCTGCCTTGCTCTCCTCAAATAACACTTTGCAGCACATGTGAGTACATTCAGACTAAATACGCACATCAGCCTGGGAACTCTGAGGATACTTTCAATAGAGAGCTATAGATCTACACTTAGCTAACAAACAGCTTTGACAAAGTTTTAAAAAGTTGCCCATAACACTTGAGCAAATAACTATTAATTTACAGATGCAGTTCAAAACTTCATCTAGACTGATTGCAAATACTTCTGTCATTCATTTCAAACAGGTTAGTCATCACTAGGCTTCAGCATCCTAAACCATTCTTTGCATCTATTTTTTCAAGTGAGAAGTATTTGCACATACAGGGAAATTCCTGCTACTTCTTTCACTCAAAAAAGTTTAGCTATGCCCAAAAATTAAATCTTCCTCCAATTACCCTCTATTTCTTAATCTACTTGAGGCCCAACCCACATCTGATGTCCAAGTACAAACCATATTGAAAATCGCAGATTTTCTTTTCTGTATTGAAATTTCAGGATCAAACTACTACTACTATCATTGTTTTACTACTAAGAATACATAGTTTCTTTATAACTTTTTATTTTTTTAAGCATTAAATTTTCTTGAATTTAATTTTTTAAACTTTAGGATTTTTAAATTAAAAATTATAACTTTTTAGGTATTTTTTAACTTTATTAAATTATTCTTAACTCTTTTTTAGCTTTCTTAGACATTGTACTTCCCAAGCAAACATTTTTTTTCCCCAGAGAAATTCACTGTTACTACAATCTCAAGATGAGTTTGATAACACGATGAAATGAGAGCAGAGGTGCAAACCTCATGGCAAAAGCTAAGTAACTCCAGTTATTTAGAGAAAGTAAGTTTACCTTAGGGCTGATTATTTCAATATTTGTAATTTGTAAAATAAATATACTTCCAAACATTCAGAAATATCACATGAATTGCTTTAATTTTAAAGCCAAAACTGGAGTTTAGGCAGAGGTCCTGCTAAGAAGAAGGTGAATCTTCCCTGGTTCAGTTTGCTGAAGATGTGAATGGAGAGGAGGAGTTAAAACGACACAGACAAGGAGGGGAGGAGGCGAGCAGACCACCAAGGGTAACACCATTAGTAGAAAAGAGAGGGCAGAAGCAGGTCAAATGTCTAGGTCAAATAAAGTTTGAATACAAAGATGAGAGCCTTGAATTTAACCACAAGGTGATGAATTTGAGGGCTGTGCAGCACTTAGCAGGATGCACCCAGCATCTTGCAGAATTGCTTTTGGAGACTAAATTTTCATCACTTGTAGGCCACTGCATATTATTAATGACTGCGGAATGACTGCCGGTTCTAAATGTTTGGTAATGTATCTGGAAGGACAATACAGTCTGATTGTCAGATTATTGTCATTAAATAGAAGTGAGGATGATGAAATGAATGAAATGAGGGAAAGGAAAATATGAACTGAACAAAGTGAAAACGTTTCCAATGGTGAATTCTATTAGACTGTATAAAAGTTTCCCAGGGGACATAGTGGACTTCCTGTTCTTTTCAAGAGAAAACACTTTAAGGAACAATCCTTCAGTGGAATAGAAAAACATTAGGTAACCTATTAAGTCTTCACCATCTTTAATTTCTCTGGAACTGAATAGAACCAGAGCAATAGAACAGCATAAAGAAAAAAACAAATATTATTTTAAGAAAAAACTTTTATCCATTAATGTCAGTGTGATTGGCAAAAATGCAGGTAAGAAAGTCTTTTTTACCTTGAGGTGGAAGTACCAAAATTGTTAAGGTTGGTACTTTTGCAAATGAATGTTTGTCCGGAAAAAACATCTGTCCTGAAAACACTTAGTCTCACGAATTAAGAAGCAGTAAGTGATAACAAGACCTAACAAAATCAAGATAATACTGCACACTGTGCAACCTAAGTATTGAATCAGAATAAAAAGCATTTGCATAAAAGTACAAATGTCTGAGAGTAATCCATTGTATTACGTTTCTCTGTGCAAAATACTGCTTTATAGAAGGTGATTGTGAATAAAAAGCCCTAATCAAACCCTACCTGTCCATTATTGAAGAAATTTTTTTGTCTTGAACACTTTGTGTAATTTTGAAAATTAGTTTCTCACAGAACACTATGAAAAATAGTTTGAAAATATTACTCTGTTAATTAAAAACAATTAAATCAATCAGTTCTGTCATACATGAAACAACAGAGAAGTCTTGATATGAAGTCCAGTACTTGGATTGATATCATCCCTGGATCTGCAGGTTTGCAAAGAGAACTCCCAAACAGAAGAGTAAAAAGTGCAAAAAAACAACACTGCTAAGCTTCATGTCATCACTGTCACTATTCTGATCTAGGAAAGGAAGGTTGCACTCTTCCTTTCATCCTCCAAAAAGAAAACCCCATGGTATTGTACAAAGAAAT